TCTATCACCTCCCTTTAGTCCTCTACTATGGGCTCTACCTACTCCATGTGGGTTTCTGAGGAAAACAAAAAAGTTAGCGCTGGGAAAAGAGCTTCAAAACAATGTTTGCACGACAGAGTCATTTCCAAAGCCATTTTCAGAGTTATTCACTTGCATCATAGATGGCATGGAAGCCATCCAGAATATGAGAGGTGATAACATATTTGCTGATGTATATAACATCGAATGCATTAGTATTTGTTCTAAGTGAAAGAGCAAAGTGCGACAGGATTGATGAGCACTGAACATACTCAACCAAGAATTTTGAGAGAATCAGAAAGACTGTTTGTTTCTTTCTTTTAGGGCAAAGCCACATTGAGCTATCTGCTGTATCCACCGCGTGAATCGAAACCCTGACCTTAGCGTTGTAAGTTCGTAAACTTACTGATTTTTTTGGGGGTGGGGGACGAGCTAGGAGAAGATCAGTTAAGGAGAACATTTCAAGAACGCAGCACCAGGGCACAAAACCAACTTGGCAGCGCCAAGGCACAAAACTAACGGAGAAAGTTACTTGGTAGCTCCAGCAACAAAGCCTTGTAAAGTTCTTGGTTAATGAACGGAAATATTCCAGACAGCCACAGATTATCATTTAACCTGAATCTACACCGAAGAAAGCTAATACTCGCATGTTTCCTCGCGTAGCACAATTACCACAAGAACTATCAAACAAGACGTCTTCATATTATATCTAGCTTTTAAAGCTCATGTTGGATTTCACATGCAAAGAAAAGTGGGGCCAAGTCTCGTGCCAAATACATTAAAATTACCAAAGTATTTGCCAGATTAGGGTCTGATATCTGTGAATCTCTACTGGACCTACAATACATGCCTTCGCTGAGTGGGACAATGTTGGTGCTTTTGAAAGTTATGGCTAGATCACTGGTCTGAAACTCCTGAGATCAAACAGATACATCACGATACATTTATACATCCTACACAATACTGGGAGTCATCAAGTCAAATCTGTTCACCTGTCTGATGTACAACTTAAAACCTGGCACATATGACGTCAGTGGATTGGGGTATAGACTCTTTTGTACAAAATTAGGAAGTTGACTCCATCTAAGTACGTCTTTATGCTGATTGCCTCTACAAGCATTACTTGCATGTTAACTACAGGTAGAAATATGGAAATGTAGCTTTCCGAATCCATCCACCATCTCAGATCCATCCGGCCATGGCTGAATAAGAGAACTGGTTGGTGAGGAGGCAGGTCTTATAATAGATTAGATGGAAAGAATACCAGAAATGGTCCCGGAGATGTTGTCGTTCAACTACGTTAAGTTAAATAGGGTGGCTATCTGTGCATGCCCCATCAATATGGTCTTTAATGTGCAGATTTGTGAAAGTTTTAAACATGTAGTAGCAGTCAAGCAACAGGAGTAAGATATCACAGAAAGTGACCGGTAAAATACTTGGAAAACTAAAATATATTATTTTGTCAAAAGCTGCTATCTTGGGCTTTCAGTTTATTACTTTATTCACACCAAAATTAACATGTGATGGGAAAATACAAGAGTTTAATCCAATGTACTGTGCTTCTATGCCTTGTGTTATATTTTTATTATACCAGTTCATACAACCTAACACACGATAAGGTACCTCCCAATATTGTTGAATTTAAGACATTCCTGCCGAAAGGAAATACCGTATATAAAAACACCGTGTATAATAACAAAAGGTATCACTTTGCGAGGGCTGTCACATAAAAACATACTGGTTACCAAAAATAAGCATTAGAAATTTCCCTGGTGGACAGTACCAGATGGTCAAATTTATGGCCCAGACTTAAGGCCTATTTGAAAAATTATAGTACTGAGTAATTATACATGAAAAAGAAGAAAAGAGGGGGTAATGATCGTAAACGAGAGAAAGAGATGGCATCTAATTAACATACATGAAAAAGATGGCATCTAATTAACATACATGAAAAAGATGGCATATAATTAACATACATGAAAAAGAGAAAACAGTAGAAACTAATTATGCGCAAATTGAGAAGATAACAGTTAATTATTATATGTACATGTAGTGGAGAATATATATGACTTTACGTTCAAAGCAAACAATGGTAGTGCAATAATATAAGAAGAAAAATTAGATAATGATTGTCAATACTGATTTACTTTCACGAATAACGCGTACAGTTTGGAAGATTTCTCTGCGATATACTTCATGTAGAAAAATATGTTTGTACTTCTTCAGTTTTATGATTATGATTCTGTATTATACAAACATCTTTAACACATTAAAATAACACAAAAATTATGAGTATTTCACATTTTACACACGTAGCTAAATGTGGTTTTATATGATTACTGATAAAAAGATAGCATTATTGTTCGTTGATGTGTGAAGGAGGATGTGTGAAATGAAATAAAAAGGACAAAGCTAAGAGTGTAAAATCAAAGAGTCTAGTGTTGCATTATAGTGTTAAATGTGTAATCAGAGAGGTAGTGCCTGTTAATATACTTCATTATATATGCTGAAAACTTTATATTGCTGAAGAAGACATAGTGTTATATGTGTTACATAATTCTACCTGAGAGGAATCTGTCTTTGAAATATGATAATATATAATATACAGTAAAGAAATAGATGTGGTTTATATGTTTCACAAAATTAAATACTTTTGGAAACAGAGTGTGTGTAATGTTTAAATAAAATACTACAAATTATATTCATCGCATCTCTAACTAATATTATATATTGATTGTATAATAACACATATTCTGGAGGGGAAGTGTTTATTGTACATCTAAGCAGTTTCGTGTAATACATATATATACCTTTGGAAAAAGTGTTCATTGTATCTCTAAACTGTATTGTGTAACATACATGTCTGGAGAGAAAGTGTTCATTTTGTCTCTAACCAATATCGTATAATATATACCCATAGAAGGTAAGCATTTACTGTATCTTTGAACAATATTGTGTAATATATACACCTGGAGAGTAAGTGTTCATTGTATATCTAAACAATGTTGTGTAAAATATGTCTCTGGATAGAAAGTGTTCATCGTATCTGTAGGTACTATTGTGTTGTATATATATATTATTCCTGGAAAGAATGTATCTACTGTTTCTATAAACAATATCCCTGGAGAGAAATACCATATTTTATACTTAAGAAAATATAGTATAGCATATATCCATAAAAAAAAAAGAGTAGAATGTACACATGTAAATAAAGTGCCGAGTATATATACATAAACATAGTATGAAAGGTATGCGTGTGAGTATCGTGTAGAATGTACACATGTAAATAAAGTGCCGAGTATATATACACAAACATAGTATGAAAAGTATGCGTGTGAGTATCGTGTAGAATGTATACATGTAAATAAAGTGCCGAGTATATATACATAAACATAGTATGGTAGGGATTGCGTGTGAGTATCGTGTAGAATGTATGTTACAAATAAACTGTAGAAAGTGTGTTTTTAAGTATAAAGTATGTATGTATGTACATAAAATGTTGAATACATTCTTGAGGAGGAATTGCCATTTCTAGCCTTTATAATATTTCATTGTTTTGTAACAGCTTTTATGTTGTCGAGCGTGATAAAATCAAATATATATATATGTAGTACTCTGAGGTGCTTGACGATCAGAGTGAAGACATAGTTCGTCGGAAGTTAGGGGTTCGATATAAGAAGGAAATAGAACAGAAAAAATTAGAAAGGACCTAAAACCTCGAAGGACAACTTATTAATGATTTCATCTGGAGACTGGAGACCATAAATATGCTCACGAGTCGAAGAGAAGCTGAAAGAAAATGTGTATTAAAACAAGGGATTGGTTGTTTGTTTTGAATTTCCCGCTAGCCGTCCCTAATTTAGCAGTGTAAGACGAGAGGGAAGGCAGCTAGTCATCACCACCCACCGCCAAATCTTGGACTACTCTTGTACCAACGAATAGTGGGATTGACCGTGATATTATAACTACTCCACGGCTGAATCGGCGAGCATGTTTGGTGGGACGGGGATTCGAATCCGCGACCCACATATTGGGAGTCGAGCGCCCTAACTATTTGGCCATGCCGGGTCAAAAACAAGGGATAGTAGCAGCTAATATCGTTTAACGATGAAGTAGATCGTGTTTAGAGGGATTTAAATTCACGAAGGAAAGTGAAAACTGTTTTCTTCTAAAAGATAAGCTATTGTTTTAACAATATTAATAGACTCAAAGAGAGTTGCAGATAGTTCGACACTGATCGTTTTAAAATGTAGACACCCAGCGATGATTAAAACCACATAAATTAAAACCGTTCGTTGAGGAAAGTTAATTCTTGTTTTTGAAGACAATTTTTTTTTGTATTTTATCCCAGAAAAGGGTGTTTTTTTGTGATTGTAATTCAGGTGCTTATGAGTCCAGGGAAGACATAAAAACCTTTGTTCTTACACTACAGGCTACATTTGCCACGACTTCCACTATTGTTTCCTATTAATCTATTCAATGTTTTTAGTTCTCTTCAGTGAGGTTTTCAACATTTAATCAATAAACTGAAAAAAAAAACAGAAGAAAAAACATAAACAACAAGAAAAGACATAATTTCCAACACGTCTTCGAACTAGGCTTAACGTGTTCCAAATACAGAAAATTCATTTTGGAGTAAATTTTCAGCTTAATGTATTTTTTAAAGTATTTGAAATAAAAAAACTAACTTCTTACTCATTTACTTGTTGGTATGTTATGTTTTTTATTATTAGTGATATGTATATATATATATATATATATATATAAATTTCGAGTACAAATGCATGAAGTAGCACTTAGACCTGTACCTGTACTACAGTTTCTGGCTACGCCCATAAGTCAGTGTAAGTACAATCACTGTGAATTCTAGAAATTCTAAAGCCCAGTGATTGATATTGGTCAGGTACACTGTAATTCAGGAACTGCTGTCGTAATTTGAAGCACTTTAAAGACGCTAAGGATATGGGCGTTAAGCGGCTTACCTGGATCAGAAGAACCAGTCCGACGACGAGGAATGATCCACGTCCGACAGTAGTCACGGCCTTTCTGAGGAAGAGAGTTCGGCAATTCAGTGTCTCGATGTGTGTTTCACTTGATGTTGCTGTTGACAGAAGATGTTCAGACGTTAATGCTTACTAATTTCGGTGAAACTAGAACTACAAGTTTAGGTAGTGAAATAACCAGCCTACGTATGCTCAGTAACGGGTTTGTTCTTTCTATCTCGTATAACAACCTGGAACGACCTTTTCTTTTCGATTGATAGATTTTCTCAAGTTGTTTAGTGTTCTCTCCAGACACTAGATCTACTGAGAAGGAAACAAGCCTTCAAGTTGTTCGAGTCTAACTTAACTCTTGTTAATGGTGAAGTCATTGATCATTTACTACAGTTGGGAGTACTAGACTCCCGCGGTCACATAATAGCCGTTTGATAGTGGAGGATCGCGCCTACTCAACCACTTGTCAGCCAATCGCGGTTCTGAGTTCCCCACCCACCGTGTGGGGTTGAGTCGCTTGTACTGTAGTGGACGTTCGACAACAATAAGGTCCTGTGAAGATAGATATAACTAAACTAGGTAAGATTGTTGTGGTTTCACTTTGTAAGTCTTTCTCAAGAAAAGAGAATAAAATGAAACATTCTAGAAATATTTACTCTTTACTGATTTATTTAGTTTATGATTGGTAAAAAGTCAAGTTGCTTTTGCGATGCACAGAGCCTACTTTGCGTCAAACAAAATGTATGTTTCAGGTTACAACTACAGATGCTTCCGTCTTTAAGGCCGTCGCCCCGGTTTCAACTGTCTCTACACCCGGGAGGGATTATGAAGAGACGTCTCTGAGTCGTCTTACCGGGTTGACTGTCGTCTTGTCAACATACAGTGTTCGCTCGAAAAGCAAACAAACGACTATTAGTATAGCTATAGATCGCTGTGTAAGTATTTCAGATAACGTGCTTAGAAAAAATCAGTATAAGCCTAGTCCTCCCTATGCACACTGATCTCTGATATTGTATCAGTTCTATTTAGGTGTTTTTTGTTTTGTTTTTTAGCCCGGCGAGTTTAGAATATTTAGATATTTACTCAGTGTGACAGATTGCTGCTGTTAAAAGAGGCGCCGAAAGAAGAGTGTTTTCGGCATTTATACCAAAGAGGTCGTTTTGTAGTTTCCTGCAGTGAAAATATGGTAGACGTATAGTTTGACCTTTATAGCTTTAACTTGTCGAGGAGAGCTATGTAAGCATCTTAAGAACAGACAGATAACTTTATAAGGTAGACTTATAAAATAGTATACAAGTAGACAGGTATACCGATGTGTTATAAACAAGAAAGGCGATTTGAGAATATGAGAAGTTTTAAGCAACAGTTATTGTTCAAAGATAAAACATCCTATGTTCAAGATTGGTTTTCGTTCAAGTTCTTGAACACATTAAACGTCGTCTTTTCAGAACTGTCATAAAATAGTTTTTGTAGTCTTTCAGAAGCCTGATGTCTAGTACAGCAATGAATTCACCTTCCGATATGATCCTAGTGATAACGGCAACTTACGTAGCCACTTTTTATGTCGGATTGGAGACACATTCATTGACACCAGTACAAATCTTGGATTCAGAACAGTTTTGCTGCGCCTGAAGAGCACATATACACATAATACATGTGCAAGTGTACAGTAGTATGTCTATATAGATGTAGGTGTATAACACACAGCTACACCTAAATAAACGTCGGCCTATCTCTCTCTGAATTATTTGCATGCTGTTACTATGTATTATATATAAATAAATGTTGTGTATAAGTATAAATCTTTAAGTTAAGTAGCTAATTATGAGGAAGATTAAATGAGCAAAATTATGAGTTCTTGACCTGCATTCCAGTTAGAATATTTTAGCTTTCGACCAGACTGTTGCTTAGCAAGAGTGATATTTTATTTTAGTTCATGTTATTAGCTGACTTTGATTACTTCAAACAATGTAATTTTACTTTATCAGTTAAATACTATAATGTTAAAACTGTTGAATAAGCTAACAAAGATCCACCCTTTCCTAAGTTTGTTCTGTACGCTGAAAGGATTTGGACGTTTTGGCAGTAACGTTAGAAAGAGAAAGAAACGTTCGTGTACTATTAGCCCTGATGAAGCAGTAAATACGAAACGTTGGTTGAAATAAACAAATTATTATTATCTGGAGAGTAAAGGATTTTTTTATCGCTAATTTTTTAACCTTTCCTATTTAATTTTTTTAACTTCATTGAACGTTCAAAGCAGTCTCAAATGCCTCCCAGTGGCACAGCGATATGTCTGCGGATTTAAAACGCTAGAATCCGGGTTTCGATACCCGTGGTGGGCAGACCACAGATAGCACATTGTGTAGCTTTGTGCTTAATTACAAACAAACGTTCAAATCAGGAACCAGGTAATGAGTTTAAACAGACAGGTTGTTATACTTGTACAAGAAGTTCACCTGTAATAGAAAACGTTAAAATATGAATTTATTATTTTCCCGTACGCCGGTTTTCGTGAACAAATGGGAAATTATCGTTTTCGAAAACCTTTATACTTTAGCTCTGTACTATTATTATCTTGCTGATATTTTATGTATATCAAAGGCTTAATTATTGACTAATCAGGTTGTAGTTTAAGTAAGTAATGTATTCGGTTATTTTTATAAAGTGCAAATAATATGCTACAGTTCAACTCCGATTAAGTAATAAACATGATAAAAATACACGTGCATCTTGATACTGCGCAGAAACTATCTTAATTATTCTTATTCTGAACATCGACAAATTGTTCGTTAAATTTATTTGTTTGTTTAGAATTTTGGCACAAAGTTCAACAAGTGTATATGCATAAAGCCGTCCCTAATTTTGAACTGGTGGACTAGAGGGAACGCAGCTATTCAAGAGGGATTTGATTGTACCTCTAATAACGCATTCATGGCACCAAAATGCGCAGAGCGTTTTAGCGTCAACTGGCCACGAACCATGAACCCTTAACTTCACAGTACCAGCACGTCAACCACTAGACTACACCCGGCTCTTTATAACTTTTATAATTGGCTTTTAAAGCGGCAAAAGCGCTGATGTTTCTATTTGAAATAGCATCCGTTAAGATGTACAAAAAGCTATTGAAAACAATATACAACCTAAGATAAAAATAAAAAATCGTGCTGAAATATTAGAGTAGTTCCAAAGTTCAACCAGAAACGCTGAGACAAAGCTAAAAATGTGGAACAACGTAGGTCACATGCTTAAACAAATAGCAGTAATCCTGGTTTATCATCCCAAGTACTAAGCAAGCCTAATGTTCAATTTTAATTGATATGTCACCACTAAAAAATAAAAGTCACAATTACATAAAATTTGATCTAAACAATGCTTTGAAAGAGTTTCAGGTGTTGAAATAATATGTTAATAATTCTACTGGCAAATATACTAAATAATTAATACGTCATTAGAGAAAAATGGAGGAAATTGCCTTAAAATTATCTGATAAAATGTGCAAGAAAAAACAGCAGAGGAAGTTTACCTTTGTGTTTATTTTTACATTTCGTTTGTTTTTTATTTATACACTGTATAAAACAAAGTTTCATAAAATGAGTTGTTGTCAGTTTAGTAAACTATATTATGGAAAGCTTCACTGTTATTAAAATACTTTCCGATATCTAAGTTATATTATTAAAATAAGATTCAAAATTACTCTTATTTACCTGTGTTACGTCATAGTGAACAATGAAGCAAACATGGATCGTGCAAGACTGATAACTTATTTCTCCACGTATTCGATATCATTACTTATACTTTATACCTCGTAACGTATATCTGCTACTTACACTAGAAATTATTGTATTAGATATATCTATATATATGTGTGCAGGCAAAACAGTTGTAATATCACTTGAACTGTAAAGTCCTCGACTTGATTTTCACCTTGATAAATAGCATCACTTGACTTAACAAAATTGTTCTGGTAAAGAAGGTGTCCTCGATTTGGGTTCCAACCAGCTTAATGTTTCTGTAACTGCATTTGCGTTGAGTAGTATGAATTGATCTCATAATTATTAAACTTATATCGATTATTTGTGGAACATGGTAGGTTTGAATTATTCAATAAGTTTCTCACATCATATATGGTTTGTTTAGATTTTGCAAAAGTTTCTAATATGGTATGATTAGTTTAATTTCTGTAATAAGTTTCTCACAACAACTTGTAGGTTCTTAGTGAATTTGATTTTTTTTAGGCAATTAAATCCACTCAAAGGAAAGGATTAAATTAGTCTTCACACGTTCCTTAACAACACCAATGCAGGAAACATTAGAAACTCTGCACTATTTATGCATTCATCTTCGCTCAATCATATTTTTAAATAAAAGTTCTCCAGTGTTTATTATAGTAAATCCCACAATTATTTTGAAAAAAAAAATCATTTGTTAAATTGTTCAGACTTTAAAAAAAGATTTTTACTCTACATTTGATCCACTTTACCTAATATATTATAAAACCTTTAACTAATGGATTATAATGTGCATTAATCAAATTGTCAACTTTATCGTTTTTTTACGATAAGTCGATATGTTATTCAAACATCGATCTGAAACTGTCTGTAAATTGGTAGAATGTCAAAATATAATAATAATAATAATTAAACGTTACGGTACGTTCCAGTTTTTAATTCTAAGCAATTCCAAACTATCTTTGTTCTGATATTTTCTTTAGTTAGACAATACTTGCCACAGGCCTGTGTGTGGCAGATGAAGATGCATAATCGAGATTACAATCTTCAAACGTTGTCAAAACACATATCTGCTCCTTTAAAACCTTCTTTGTTTATGTTACTCTCTATGTATAGTTTCTCAGAGGTTTCGAAGTTGGCAATCATTTTGAATTATAGGTAGTAGTCTAGAAAATACAGAAAATATTCATTTTTAACCCAAGAAAACTACTTATGGCAGCTCAGAGAACAGTGAAACGGCGGCTGTAAGGAAAAGTTTGACAGGAACAAGGGGAACACCTTTCCAACCAGAGCGAAAAGCGTCGGTTGCTATTCTTTTGTTAAAACTCCATTTGATCCCCTCTCAAATTAGCATGAAAATGACAACCACTGTTTACACTTGGAACCAAGAAATCTAACTTTTTTTCTGTGTATTGAATAGCGGTCCCTGCTCCTCTAAGGTCGAAATGAAAAAGTTTTACACGTAAAGAAAAGAGGGTTATTGAGA